CAGAAAGAGACAGAGAGAGAAAGAAGAGGGGAGGAGTTGATCTTGCGAGAACTTCCGGGCGGGTGAGAATAGCCACTTTCATTATATTATCCTTTGTAAAGAAGAGACCACACAGTTCGCGCTGGGTCACCACGGCTGGGGTCCATTTGTTGTAAGTTCCTTGCCCAGATCGTAGAAACTGAGGAAGGCCAAGGTCGAATAGCTTACACTGCTTCACATCCGGTATACCTAGTGATTGCACATGCGCATTGGAGTTTGAGTACGAATAGCCACGGAAGGCTATACGGACTCGAATTCAGACTCGAGCCCGAATAGCCACGGCCCTGAATAATATAAGACAACGTCATAAAAATGGAGTCAAATCCTAAGAGGTTTATTCCAGAAACTGAGAAAGCTTCCATAATCCAGGCAGTGGAGTAATGAAAAGTAGGTTATTTAGAAACGTTGGCTACTAGATCTAGTTACTGGCGTTTCAAATAGCATGGGGCTAATCAGAACGCGGCGTTTTCATTAGAACAGGAGCTCTATTCAGAATGCGGCGTTTCAAATAGTGCTGGCTTTGATTTTACGAAGTGAATATTTCTCAGAACGCTCAGGAAAATAAAGTTGAACTCTATTTCTCCGAATGGTTTCTGATCTCGAGATTTTTTGTTTATTAGTGAGATTTAAGCGTCATCCTTCCATTCTGCAAGGACTGGGAGGAAGCATTTTAGCATCGAATTCAATTTCTAGAGCTAGAGATTTTTAAATGTTTGAATATTCAGATACTTCAGTTGTGGTTGGGGCATCCTTCCCGGACTATACTTCATTTGAAAATACCTTCAAAAGGTACTGCGAGAAAACAAGACTGCTCGCACTTGCATTTAGTCACCCATCAAAAGCTAAAATCCTTTGTGTGTAAGAAAAAAATTCCCCCCTCGCCCCCACGTTCACACCTTACACACACACATAGGCACACTCACACACGGGCCACTCCATTCGCTTATTATCAACAAATCTCGAGAATGGAAACCGTTCAGAGAAATAAAGTTCAAGTTTATTTTCCCGAACGTTCAGAGAAATTATAGAGCCGGCCTTGACTTTAAGTCCTTGTAAAAAAGCACTCTCACCTTATATGACATAACTTATGATGATGAATGACAAAGACTCAATAAGCAGTTATAAAGCACTTCTCAGTGGATAACAGTTTCAAAGACCGAGAAAGGATAGTAAGATAAAAAAGAAAGCAGGGGTATTGCACAACATGCTGTAATTTACAGTAAATAAAATGAAGAAATGATTCTCTTAAACTTGACAGATTGGCTAGACTAGACCTGTTGTGTCTTAGACTCATCTACTATTTCTCTTTAGATCTAGATTTAGTGCAGTTCAACAACAAATTTAAGTTAAATAGCCTTCTCTCAATATAGAGCTAGAGTCTAGTACAGCCAACCGGCCAACCAGAGGGAGAACGATATTGGGATATTATTTAATTTAAATCTAGTCTACAAACTACACTATCAGTCAGTAAAATGTACTAATTAGGGTAGGTAGGTCTCTTTAAATTTTATTTCCACTAGAATCTAGATAGATCTAAAGTAAGGCTAAGAGGCACAAAAAGGCTGTAACTCTGAAATTTGACAAGAAACATCTGGGGGTAACTGTAACAGCCGGTTTGACTTCTTGGATGCTGTGGATAAAGCGTAGGCCTAGCGGCCTAACCTAAGTGATGACGTATACGAAAGACAGAGTCTACGCACCAACAGGACACATTTTCATCTAAATAATGGAATGACGACAAATTAATGATTATAGATCATTACCATTTGTTTCAATACGGGGCATTCGTTCCACGAAAGTTTTTTTCTGAGATTTGGAGAGGCTTTGAGACGACCCTTTCGTCTTTTTGCTTTTGCCAACAACTTCCCATTGCGCTGCGGATGCCATCTTGAATCGGTAAAGACTCTTTTAAAGAAAAGGTATTTTTATATTGTTTCGATATCGAAACAGCTTCTCTAGTCTTCTGTGTTGAAAACCAAAAGTGGACTGAGCAGAGCCAGAGACACTAAAATATATAATTAAAT